TTTCGTGTGTTATCCTTTCAACCTGGGCACACCACACCACAAAACAAACCCTCAAATCTCAAAAGTAGTGTAAAATTGTTGAAATACTCAAACAAAAAAATGATATCTTTTGATTGTTTGAACAAGTTACCCAGAAACTGCCAAATATTCCCCTGTCTATATCTCTCTTTGATTAGACCTCCATTTGATTCCCTTTTATTTTCATCTTCATATGTGTCAACCATTCTATATAAATCAACATCTAGCCTACCCATTTCTATCTCTCCATCTTCTTATCTCTCTCTCATCACGTGAATCCAACCTTTAGCCAAAGCAACGGCCAAAAGAAATGGATGAAAGTGAAAAAAAAAAAAAAAAACAGAGTTAGACATAAAAAAGTTAAATTCCATTTATGTAAAAGAATATATGTATATGAGTGTATGAAAAAGAAATAGCTTTTGACAATGTTGATGTGGCTCTTGAAAATGCAGACGGGTAAAAATCTCGATTATCAAATTTTGGAGATGCCGGATGTTATAATTTGGACTACTTGATATGCGATAACAACTAAACAGACAAGATCCTCTTCGTTGAATAATAGCAGAAAGAAAAGTAGTAAACATATACAAATCAGTTTGAGAGAGAAAGAGGGGTGAATCTTCGCAAGAGAGTAGTTGGTACTTGTTATCATCTTTGTACCTCATTTTCTCGATAAGTTTTTAGATTGTCCCGACCATTTTAGAAAGCTAGTGTCGTACATATTTTCCTTTTTAAACACATGATTTTTGTGGTTCACATCTATTAATAATTTCATTCTTCACACCCTTTAGTACTGTTACCGAGACAAAGGCGCATTGTTCATTTCAACCAAAGAACGAGTCTAAACTGTTGACATCTGATCTCTCTTCAGTGAAATAGTTTTAATAAGGTGAGATACTACTTCCTTTCAAATTCAAATAAGTTTTTACAATTATTTTTAATACGTGCATTCTATGTGCAAATTTTTTTTTTTTGGTTAGAAATAACTAATTACTATATTTAAATAAAAAATTACGAATAAAGCTTATTAAAGAAGGTCTTTACTTTTATACTTTGTCTTTAAATTAAATAATAATATCAAATCAACAAACATAAATTATATATAATTGTGTATCTAAATTGATCTTTTTCTAAATACAATCCCAAAATATTGCAAGTAATCCTAAACTTTGAACTAAACTTTTCGCAATTCTAAATCCAAAGCATTTGGTGTTCCCAAACATAACATAAGTTATGAACAAGACTCAGATTTTACCTTCAGCTGAAAATTACCAAAATTTGGACCTGCAATTGAATTTTAGGAACTTATTTGCAATTAGCTCTCCTCTTTAATTATTAGCCACGATGAAAGGCACCAAGCAAACATGGTGAAGTTGTCTTTGTATTGTAACATTTTCTTAATTTCTTTGTCTCTTTTACTGTGCTTGTGGAGGCACTGCAACATATACGGATCTCCATGATAAGCTTAAACAAATTTAGCAAAATAACGAAATTCATTAGGAACTTCGCTTTATTCTGTACAACTGAAGGAAGAGAGTTTGCGCGAGTGAAGAAAATTGAAGAGATCATTGCCCTTTTGTCCTATAAGAAGAAATTGAATTCATTGTAACAAGTTATGAAGCTAGATTTATTTTACGCAGTATACTATCTCTATAAAAATAAAAAAGATTTCAAAGGATGTTATCAACAAAACTGAATCAAAGAGTCGTAAACACACTGTTTGGATGACATGAACAATGTCTTAAAGGTTTTTTTTTTTTGGGAAAAAAGATAACAAATTCAACTTTTTTTTAATTTTTTTTACCACCTTTTCTGCACAAATACTGCAATTACAGCCATTAAGACATTGTTTGGCTTAGAATATATATTTTTTGTTTTTCTTAAAAAGATGATTTTTTATTTTTATTTTTTTAAATTGTCTTTGTTTTCAGCTCCATAATGGATATTGTATTTTATTTGACTTTCTTAAAAAAATTATACTTTAAAAAATATTAATATTAATATTAATATTTTTGGAGAACATAAACACTTGGAACACATGTGATAGCTAAATTTTAGAGAGTCCAAAACGTTCAGATAGCTTTTGAAAATGTTGATGTGACTCTTGAAAATGTTGACGGGTAAAAATCTCGATTGTCAAATTTTAGAGATGTCATTAGAATTACTCAAGGGATGTTACAATTTGAATGACTTGAGGGACGACGACAACAACCAAATAGAGAAGATCCTCTTCGTTGAATAATAGTAGAAAGAAAAGTAGTTTACGTACAAATCAATTTGAGAGAGAGATGGATGGATCTTCACAAGAGAGTAGTTAGTACTTGTTATCATCTTTGTAGCTCAATTTCTCGATAAGTTTTAGACTGTCCTGGCCATTTTAGAAAGCTAGTGTCGTACATATTTTTCTTTTTTAACACATAATTTTTGTGGTTCACATTTATTAATAAGTTCATTCTTCACACCCTTTAGTACTGTTACCGAGACAAAGGCGCAGTGTTTAATTCAACCAAAGAATGAGTCCAAACTGTTGGCATCTGATGTCTCTTCGCTGTAATAGTTTTAATAAGGTGAGGTCTTATTTCCTTTTAAGTTCAATTTTTTTTTTTATATATTATTTGATTATTTTTTTTTCGTTCTTTATTATGAAATCTATTTTACTATTATGTTGAAAGTAATTCTTGGGGATAGATAATAAGACTATCATTAGAGTATAACAAAGAGGTATTTCTAGACTTTGTTAAGATTGAAAACCATAATGGAACTGCTAGTTTTGTACTACTTGTTTCTGCATCATAAATATAATAGATGATAAGCCTAAATATTGTCTTCTTCTTTGAAATTTAATAATAAAAAATAAAATTATTGGAGAGGTAGATTGCAAGTTTATGAAAACCTGAGGTTTTGTACCTCCATTTCAGCATCCAACGAAACCGGTGAGTTCCTTCAGTCCAGCGAAAACCAGTTCAGTTTCTTAAGCTTTAAGTCATTCTTCATGCATAAAACCTCAACTTCAACCGAAGTAATTAACTCAGATCAAACAACAAAACCAAAGCATCACCAATAGCAGCAACAATTCATCATCAACAGCAGCAACAGTTCATCACCGGCGCAGCATGACCCACTGAGTAGGCTTCCCATTCACTTATGTCCTCTTTAGTCATTTCATAAATGCAGCTTTTTAAAATAATATGAAAATTGTGTATAAAAGGATAATTTGGTCATTCTATTACTTTAATGTGTGAGGAGGGAGATATTTGCACAATTTTAAAAAATTGGGGGGTATTTTGTGCACATGAGGGGGGTCAATATGCTCCAATAAGTATATCATGTTAAGTGCACTTAACCTTTTTATTTATTATTTTTTTAATGACTTGGTGAAAAGACCAATGTGACCTTACTTTGTCATTTGAAATTTACATTCTAATGCTTCTCAGCCCTAAGCCTTTTCCTATTGCGGTGGGCCTTTGTAGGGGTGCATCTTGGCTATTCATTGTTTGGGTTTGCCCATGTTCCCTTTGTTGGACTTGTTTTGGACAGAAGGCCTTTAAATGTACATTTCTTATTATCTTTTCAATTTTCAAATACACACACACACACACACACACACATATTTAAGAAAAAAAAAAAGGATTTCAAAGGACAATAAAAAAAGAAGAAGCAATTTTTTGGTTTTTTTTTCCCTCAACAAAACCGAAGTAAAGAGTTGTAAACACAGTGTTTGGATGACATAAACAATGCCTTAAAGTTTTTTTTGTTTTTGTTTTTGTTTTTTTTTTTTTTTTTTTTTTAACACTTTTTCTGCACAAATACTGCAATTACAGCCATTAAGACCTTGTTTGGCTGACAGTGCCTTCATATATATATATATATATATATATATATTTTCTTAAAAAGATGATTTTTTGTTTAAAATATATATATATATATATATATATATATATATATATATATATATATATATTTTCTTAAAAGAAAAAAAAAACTGTCTTTGTTTTCATCTCCATAATGGATATTGTATTTTATTTGACTTTCATAAAAAATTATGTATATTAAACACTTAGAGCACATGTGATAGCTAAATTTTAGAGAGTCCAAAATGTTAACATGGCTATTGAAAATATTGATGTGGCTCTTGAAAATGCTGACGGGTAAATATCTCGATTGTCAAATTTTAGATATGCCATTAGAATTTCTCGGGGTGTTAAGATCCTCTTTGTTGAATAACAACAGAAAGAAAAGTAGGGTCTTCACAAGAGAGTAATTGGTACTTGTTATTAGCTTTATAGCTCAACTTCTTGAGAAATTTTTAGATTGTCCCGGACAAGGACGGAGTTGTTCACAAGCCTGTGGGGGCAATTGCCCACATTGAAATTTGTTTTTAAGTAATATACCTTGTTAATTTACATTTTTTTATATATACCTACAAAATTACACTATTGCCCTCACTAAAATTATTAAAAATTTATATTATTGGCTCTCTCACATAATTTTTTGGCTCCGTTCCTAATCCTGGACCATTTTAGAAAGCTAGTGTCATGCATATATTTCTTTTTGAATACATGATTTTTATGGTTCCCATCCAAACTTTGACTAGTCACAGTGAATGTTGAGCTGTATCAAATTTTGACGGGAAGTCACAACTTAGGTATTTTCTTATTTTTAGGGTTAGCATTGTGTCTTAACATTAGCAAGAACAAGAACAAGAATGTAAGCAAGGGCGGATGTAGGATTGGCTTTAGGCCCCCCGAAAAAAAAAAAAAAAAAAATTATTATTATTATTATTATTAATAGTATTAGCTTACCCAATCGAGTTCAAGTTAACTTAGCTACCATGTTAAAATAAATGCCCAAGTCAAATAAGCCCAGTGCCAACCTTGACCCAATGCGAATTAGGCGGTCGCCTAGGGCTAAAAATTTATGGGGCCTCCAAATTTATAGGCCCGTGGATGATGGGACACCAGAAAAATAAATAAATTGTAGGGCAAATCATTTCAGCCTCCCCAATCGCCTCCATCTCTATTTTCGTTCTCAACTCTGAACTCCCTTTCTCTCTCTGCAACTGCAAACTACAAAATCTACAAGAATCAGAAGTTCAAAACCAATATACTTCAGTATATCTATCTGTCTGCAAGAATCAAAAGTTCAAAACCTATTACCTATATCAAAACCCATATCGGCATATCATTTCAGATTTTTCAAAAAATCAAAACCCATATCTTGTAGTTTCCATCGCCCGTTGTTCCAGTTCGGGTTCGCCGTTCGCAAGCTTCAGCCGCTGTCTCTCAACTCTCAAGCTTGCCCGCCTCCCTCTCTGCAACTGCTAACTTGTATGTATGGGTTTTGTTTTAATTTTTTTTCTTTCTAAATCAACTAATCGAGCTATGTAATTCTTGTTTTGCAAACTAAATCCTATTTGGTGAAATTTTTTATGATCTTATATATATATATATATATATATATATATATATATTATACAATATAAAGTAACAAAATTTGCATTGCATTGCATTTTGAGGTAATCACCGTAATCTACATTTTATTTCAGCAAAAGAAAATTTTTTTATTTTTTATTTCTATAACTGCTATGTCTTTTTTTTTTTTTTTTTCCTTTTGTCAATTATGTCTACAAGAAAATTTGAATATGGGCATGAAAAAAGAAAAAAGAAAAAATCTGAATTGGATTAGAAATTGCAGAGATTGAATCTGAAACAATTTTTATCAACATGCCAAGCCTTTTGAAGATGGAAATCTTTTCAGAACTTAAAAAAAAAAAAATCATAACAAGAACTTTGACAAGCTGAAGTGGTTAATATAGGGTAAAGCTCTAAAGTTACTTCTTGAAAATTAAAATACTTACAAAAAGCATGCTTTTGAGTGAATTCCACAGTGTTGGAAGGGGCTTGCCATGAGCTACCTCACACTCTGCTTCCACTAGTAGATTCTCAAATAGGATTAGTAACTTGGTCAAAAGAAGAGATAGGGTACTGAGTGGTGAATTGTTCAGAAATAAATTGGTAATTTTATTTTATTTTATTTTATTTTTATTATTATTAATTACTCAAATAGGTTTTTCTATGCCTTAATCAGTTAATTGTACATTGTTAATTAGCTAAAATTGAATTAAACAACAGTTGATTTTGGTTGATATATTTTGATTTAGCCCACAGCATTGAGAAATCCTGGATCCGCTCTTGAAGGTAAAGGGTCAAGAAAGAAACATGCCTCCTCAGTCACCAGGTAACAAACTCCTACTCTCTCTCCTACTGATTTCTTCTTGTTTATGTTTCTATATTACACACACACATATATAACTTTTAAAATTTTCTCTCTTTTGTCCTAATAATATAGGTTGCTTTTCTGAAAGAAGGGAGTTGATGGGAATGGGTGGGTTTGGGCAAAAAATATAGGTATGTTTTTTTTTGAGATATTATCATACTTGTTTGACTAGATGCTCTATTTTGTACATTAAGGTTGTGACTTTAATTATTAATTGCTTTTTCTCATTCATTCTAAAATATTTATGTTCACTCCCGGCATTTATTTCTTTCTACTCTTCTTCTTCTATCTTCTCTACATCCACTCATATTTATATGTTAGTGGTGACAAATTACATTAAATTTAGCCAAAAGACTCTTTTCCTGTCAGATTTAACTCTGAAAAATGTCTATGAACACATGATTTTCATATTGAAGGATGCTTTTAAAAAATGTTCAAGCTTTATGCTTACTTGTGTGTCTTGAGACAGAGACTGTGATTGTTTACTCCTAAGCTATTTTTGCACACAATTGCAGTGTTAGTTTTTGTAGATTAGGAACAAGTGTCAGAGAATAATCAATGGAATTTTTTTTTTATTTTTTTATTTTTTTCCCTCGTTAAAAATTGTTGTACACTTTTACGGACAATGAATTGGTTTCCATTAAGATAGCATAGTATAGTCTTCATGGTTTTTCTCGTTTAATTTTGATATATTTGTTCACTTTTTCTTTAGATTCAATAAATACCTCATCATTTCTATATATTTTTTGTACTATTATTTAGTAATTCCCTTTCGTTTTTCTTTTCTTTTCTTTTTGTCATCAATTCAAAATTAATGTTAAATTACAAATCACTTGTTAATGAATTTTCAAATATTTGACGGTCCAAAACCCTACTCTGCTCCTTCGTCTCCTTCACAACCAGCTGTTACTCTCAAAAACCCCCACTCACCATTTCATTCTCTCTGGCTCAAAGAAATGGTGAATCGTGTCCCTTGTTGACCGCCTTAATATACTCTACTGAAAAGGTTCATCGTCTTTGGTTAGCGTTCCTCCAACTTTGTTTGGGGTAAAATCACCATGAACTTTTGTGATTTTTTTTCCTTGTTTTAATCTATATATGTACATACAAAATTGCTCCTATTGATTCACGATTCTTGATTTTCATATATTACATATATATTTGAAATACGCAAAATTGCTTGTGTAAAGTTAGTCCTTGAAATTTTATGGTAATTGCTTGTTTATGTATAAATATTTGTTTTAGGTTTATAAACGGTAGATATGGAGCCATGGATGATTAAAATTCTGAGGTACAATGAGGTAGACTACAAGGATATATTGGAGATCGCTTATTGAAATGGAGGAGATGAAATGGAGGAGATCGAGAGAGAGAAGGATCCTGCTAGCAAGTTATGGTTTCCTTATGTAAGTACTGTTTTTCTTCTCCTAACCATGCAAAGATTTCATACATAGAACTAATATAAACATAACATATATATTTAGTCAATGTTGGTTTGGTTTTTATTAATTTTTTGGCTTCAGGTCAAAAATGATTTGGAAAATTATATAAACAAGTGGGATATGTTTATGAGAAAGTGCAAACAGAGCCCAAGAGATAAAGCAATAGAAATGTTGGAAGAAGCGCGCCACAAGTTGGTTTCATGTTTACAGGAGGTGGAAGGTACTGCAAATGGGATGGAATCAACCAAACTCTTTCAGGTGGCTCAATATCTGGGTACCCTTGTAGACAGGCTCATGCTAACGATTCACGAAAAATTTAAGCAAAACCTGACTGTTACTGAAAGTCTAATTGCAGAGGTATGTATCATTTTGCATTCTTCACTTTTTATTGAACTTGTGATGTTTGTTGTCTTATTCTAAATATGAAGTCTGGCGCTTTGATAACATATTTCAACTATTCAATGACGGACATTGATGCAGGTAGCAAGTCCTTTGATTGGGATTCCTGCTTCTTGGCTCCTCCAATTTTCATTTTCAGAGCTGTCAGAGCTGCCACTTCAGGGTCTCAAAACAAGACTGGCTAAAGGGATGATTGGACAAGAACATGTTCCATTTGTTATTAGCAATGCATTGTCAAGGTTTAGAGTTGATTCTCGCCCAATGGTATCATTTCTATTTTTAAATGGCCTTTTTTCGGGATGGACAGAGTTTGCCAAATCTCTTGCCGAGCAATATTTTGACGACAGTGAAAAGTTGATAGCATACGACTTGTCAGAATACTCCGACTCACAATCTGCCTCACGTCTTATTGGTATTCCCTCCAGTCCCAGGTTATAATCTATCTGAATGGTCTCTTTCGATTGTTCTCCTTATTCTATATGAGGGGCTAATTTTTTTTTGTTTTATGTTTGATTTTCCAGTTCTTGTTATCGTGAAGGACTGCAAATGGGATGGAATCAACCAAACTCTTTCAGGTGGCTCAATATCTGGGTACCCTTGTAGACAGGCTCATGCTAATGATTCACAAAAAATTTAAGCAAAAAGTCTAATTGCAGAGGTATGTATCATTTTGCATTCTTCACTTTTTATTGAACTTGTGATGTTTGTTGTCTTATTCTAAATATGAAGTCTGGCGCTTTGATAACATATTTCAACTATTCAATGACTGACATTGATGCAGGTAGCAAGTCCTTTGATTGGGATTCCTGCTTCTTTGCTCCTCCAATTTTCATTTTCAGAGCTGTCAGAGCTGCCACTTCAGGGTCTCAAAACAAGACTGGCTAAAGGGATGATTGGACAAGAACATGTTCCATTTGTTATTAGCAATGCATTGTCAAGGTTTAGAGTTGATTCTCGCCCAATGGTATCATTTCTATTTTTAAATGGCCTTTTTTCGGGATGGACAGAGTTTGCCAAATCTCTTGCCGAGCAATATTTTGACGACAGTGAAAAGTTGATAGCATACGACTTGTCAGAATACTCCGACTCGTAATCTGCCGTCTTATTGGTATTCCCTCCAGTCCCAGGTTATAATCTGTCTGAATGGTCTCTTTCGATTGTTCTCCTTATTCTATATAAGGGGCTAATTTTTTTTTTTTTTGGTTTGATTTTCCAGTTCCTGTTATCGTGAAGGACTGCTCACAGAAGCTGTTAAGAGGACGCCTTGCGCCGTAGTGTTACTTGAGAATGTTGATAGGGCTCATCCTTCTGTTACTTAGGTTCTGATTGAGATCATTACCAATGACAGTGTATCAAATGGCGAAGGATGCACCACTGACTTCACCACAACAGTGATTATCATGACATCAAATGTTATGGATGGTAAAATCCAAGGGTGGAAATGCAAATGTGCAGAGACAATCAAATTCCCGTTATCTACTGATCCAATGCAACAAGACCATCAATGCTTCTATCTTGATCATCTGAGGGAGGTAAGTTGTTGTAAATAACACATCTACTGGTTTGAATAAGCACACAAGGGGTGTTGGTTTTTTTGAGTGTTCTTTAATTATGTGTTAGTTCAAATTTTTTTTTTTAAGCATTAGGTTTTTAACCAAACGATTACAGTGCCTGATATATTTGTTCTCTGTAATTCACAGGCGAGAAAACATTTCAGACAGTTCAGAGAACTGGATGATGTGATTCTTTTTAAGAACTTTTCTTTTGAACACTATATGGCTGATACCAGTCTCCAGATGAGGGAAATAGCCAGCTCCATGAGGACCCTGACTGGGAAAAGGCTGATTTTATACCCATCTGACGCAGCACTCCGTCATATTTTGGGCAAGTCAAAACAGCATCGAGTAAGTTTCCATTTTCTTGTTTAATTAGATAAAATAGAACAGAGAACAGGCTGAAGTATAGTTTCTAAATTTGCTTTGTAAAATTTGTTTTAATCTAAATCCATACCTGTGTGTATATATATATATATATATATATATATATATATATATTTTCTCAATTCTGAACTTTCTCCATTCAGACAAAGTAGGCTGGAAAAATAATCAATGATAATACATGAACGACTTAGGTTTTAAGGAAATACTTGTTTGTGTTATTTCTTTTAATTTCAGCTGTTCTGCTGATTAACAGCACTATAAACTGTTGAGTACAAGTGAATAATATGAGGGCTAGAGACACCTTAATTATTCTTGATATGCGCTTTCTTTTAAGGTGTTTGAAGTCTATGGACTTGTATTAATTGCTTCTCTTATTCTCTTAGATGTGTGGATGTGCTATGCGGGATTGGCTAGAAAAGAATTTGGTCCCTTTGTTATTTGATATGCTTGCTAACAATGAGATAGATGATATGTCCACGGTTTACATTGATTCGCTGGTGGGACAACATGCGTTGTCTTATGGATCGGAGAAACGTGGCTATCAAGCGGAAAATCTGTTTATGAAGCTGTTTAAAGAATCTTTAAGGGGATTAAGAGCTATGTATTTGAAAGAGAGAGAACGAGTCAACAAGATCTACTTGTTAAGAAAAAATTTGTTTGAACTGATGAATTTACTATATTCAGAGGATAGGATAGATTTGGACTGTGTTGCAGAGGTTACTCGAGCGCTGGTTAGGACATTAGATGCTCTCATAGAAAACACAATTGAAGTCAACCTTATGGCCCTTGAGCAGAAAATGGTACTTATAACTGTTTTCATTAAGACCTGGTCTTTCCTTTTGATTAAAATCACATGAATTATTCATTGGATTCATGTGTATTCTACTTTTCATTCTTCTTTTTCAATGTCTTCTTGTAGGTGCGTTTGAACTCCTTAAATGAGGAAGTTGAGCCTAAGCTGAGAGAAAGGCTTTGCAAGAGTTCTAAGAATGGAATGCAGGGACTTCTGATGAGATTGAGAAGGGTGGTTCGACAAAATCAGGCAAGTGATGTTGTAGTAGAGGCACTATTGAAATCTATTGATGCACAGCATGATCTGCCACATCGACCTGCTATGTTTTTCCTATTCTTGGGTCTCACGGAGGCTGGTGAAGCAGATCTAGTAGACTGTCTAGCCGAGCATCTTGTCGCTGATGATGGGATGAAACTGCTTATTAAAATTGACTTGTCTGAATACAGAGAACCAGACTCACTTTGCCGGTTCTTAAATGGGCCGTTGGAACTTCCAGAGTAAGATTTCTTGTTATCTCATTTGGTTATTTGAAATGTTTAAATTACAGCTTAATTCTATTGTTACCACATGACTGATCACTTTTGTGGTATTCTGGTATAGTGGCCATGAGCAACTTGGTTTGTCACTCCTAAGGGCTGTCAGAACAAGGCCACACAACATCCTTTTCTTTTTTGAGGTAGAAAAGGCCCACATGTCCATTTCCAGTGCTTTACTTTCGATCCTTGATAATGGTAATTTTAGCATCAATGGAGGAGATACAGTAGACTTCAGAAACACTATTGTCATTTTTGCCTCAGGTCTGGGAAACAAGGCAATTCTTACGCGACTTGTTAGGCATCCTGATCAAGGTAGTGTTTGGGATGGCGCCGTGGAAGAGGTAAATAAATTGAAACAGCAAAGTAGTGGTCCTGATTGTGGCAAGACTTGGATATTACTTTATCATGCTGCTTTGTCATTTTTAATACTCTCTCCTGTGTGTTTGATTCATTTAGCAGGAAAAAGAGGCTTCAGGTTTGAGTTGCTGAATCGCATGGATGAGATAGTTTGTTTTGAGCCTTTAGCTTGTGAGAAACTGAGGAAAGTTGTGAGGGTGTCAATGTGGGCTGGTCCTCATCTGGAAAGCAGATGTCCTCTTACGTTTTCGTGGGCATTTTTCCATTTGTTCAATACGGCTAATGATCCAGTAAGTATCCACTTGGATGCCGACTTATGGATCTATTGTTCCTTTTGCACGTAATATAATTGTGTGATTAGCTCTCTTTAATATGTTGCATAATTTCTTCTTCCGTAGGTGTATAAAAAATATCCGTCATACATCGATGAAATAGTGTCTCTTTTTCAAAAGGGTGTTGTCAATGAACGTGGAAGCAGAGGAATTGGTGCCAAGTAACTGGAAGTTAAATGTGTATATCCAATGAACTTTCACTATACCATTCTTCCAACCCTGAGCTTTGTTTGTCTTTTTACTTTTTCACTTCCTCTCTCAGCCATGGAACGTGGATGTATGTTGGATATCATGCGGGTGGAAAGCTAATTGTGTTATCATGCTTGAAATGGTTTTTATAACATGTTGTGGGCAATATAGAATTGATAAATGCGAATTCCAAGTGTCATATATATGATGAAACCCATGTCTTTTATGAAATGGATAAATTACACTTGTGTATGAGCTTTGTATAATTGTGGTAGGAGTTGATGGATTGCTTGTCTTATATAATTTATTATATTATGTATAGAGTGGGTCACATGCCTTAAGTGACTTTTATGAGCTATCAATGATGTGTTCTTGCTTTATGTGATTTCCTTATACCATGTTATTTCCTTTGCCCACATTGTGTTTGTCGAAACGTTCGAGAAGTATTCTTGAATTGTTGTTGAAGTGAATGATGATGGTAGGTGTTGACCTAAATTTGAATTGAAATGAATGCATGCCAATTAGTACCATAAAAAAGAGCATATGAGGGGTGTTTAAATGCACTTATTATTAAGTGCACTTGTGAACTGCTATAAAATGTGGTAATTACGGTATTGTGCTACTTTGTGGGAATTACTTGTGGTTTTCGGGATTGTCTCGGGCAAAAGTGAGTGGGAACGGAGTTCTCAGGGTTGGAAATCCCCACACTTGGCCAAGCAGGTTAGTAGTCCGGGAGCCACAACTTGTATACGGGCGTGTGTGAAAGTTTGAGAAATCCCGGTTGTTTGATTTCAGATACCATTTCTTGATAAGATGTTGAATTTGATGCTTGAATTACAGTTTGTGGAAATTGTTGATACCACTTTATTTGTTGGTTATTGATGAAATGGAGTAGTTATAACTTGATATTGCTTATCTTACTTAAATGCTAGATATTGCATATCCTACTTATATTTTGTTCTCATGGCCTGTGAAGCTAATGAGGTTGTGATGCTTAAATTTGTGACGAGGGGTGTGTGTTATATATATTAGGCATTCTTAATGATCATGAGGATTGTGCCCCCGATTGGACACTGCTTGGATTTAGTTTAATTCATTGAACCAAGCATAAGCTGCTATATAATTTTGGTGCCTTTCATTTATCATTCATTGGGCTGTTAGGACAGAATAAAAAGGGGGATTTAAAGGGGGCTGATTTGGAGCATGTATGAGGGTAATAAAGGGGCTGTTTGGGGCAGCTCATGAGGGATCACTTTAGGGGCTATTTGGGCAGTACCCATGGGACTTCAAATGGTTATTTGAGGCTGCGCTGACGGCACTTCCTTAAGGGCTGTTTGGGTGTTTAAGAGCTTAAATAGGGTGTTCAAGGGTGCGTTTGGGAGCTGAATTTATTTTCCTTTCCTTCTTTTGTCAATTACTTTTGATGATAAATCGAACTTGTTTTAACAAAATATATTTGCACGTTACAATAGGGCTGTTTTGAACGAACTCGTCAACCAAACCAAACTTGTTTTTCTTGTCCTTTCTTTTGCCATTTCTTGTCTCTCCCATGTTAATGTTTGATGGGTCAATGGTAAGTTATGTTCGAACCTCCTTACTGTTCATCAAATTTCCTGGGAAAAGGATGATTTGAGGAATAGGTAATGTTACGCTTGTGGGTGTTCCGTTTCCGCATCGAGACATTGGCAGTATTTAGTATTTAATAAGTTGGGTGTTCCGTTTCCCGAGACTCTATTTAATAAGTTGGTGACAATTAAATATTTTTTCGAATAAGAACATTTGTGAGTTTAAAAGGGTTTCTTATGCTATCCATTAAAGTGTAGTTGCATGGGATTGAAAAGGTGTTTGTTTTTGTTTTTAAATGAAAAATATTTAGAAATTAGGAAAATGCCTTACACTTTTATGATAGTAAAGGTTTTTGCTTTTGTTTTTGTTTTTTTTTAAATAAATGATGTTTCAAAATGCTTAGACTTTTATATATAGATTTAGATATATATAGATATAGATATGACTTGCTTTTTGCTTCTGTGGTTGACGGTGTGGCGGAGGGTGTCGGGGAAGGTTTGACAGTGTCATGGTGGGAGGAGTCGGTGACGATGTAGAAGTGACCGGCTTTGCTGCCCAACGATGGAATTTCTCTGTTGTTTATGTTCCTTCTCCAATTTTCTCATCATCTTTTACCCGTTTTGTTTATTTTGCACACTTTGTGTCTCGAGTGTGCTATAATTTTTGTAAGAGAAAAGAAATATATTGTTGATTTTTCCTTTGCCACTCGTGAATAATAAAAGGAAAGGAATCCAGATCCTCCTCATGTAGCTCAATAAATGCAAAAAAAAGAAAAAAATCCTAGTTTTTATTTTTTTATTTTGGATATCCAAAACTCCGTCTCGATTAATTCCCGATAATCCAGAAAGACGCCTTCTCACCCCGGACCGGGTAAGTCATCGAGTATAACAGCAGAGGCGAGGTCCCAAGTAATTATAATCCCAAGTAATTATAAGCTTCTAGTGAACATCCAAGCCTATACCCTGTGCTAAGAGAAAAAAAAAAAAAAAAAAGTTTAGTTATTCCATAAACTAACAATGCAATGTAGTTGACAAGCCATGTGAAATAATTATATTAGTGATGTAAATTATTACACAAGTAATGTAACAACACACAGGTTCTAACGTAAGATTAGGGCTGCAACTTGGGGGCGGGCTAACCTAGCCCAACCCAAGCCTAACCCAGAAATTTTGAAATTGGGGTTTATATTAACAAATCGGGTTCATATTCGGGTTGGGTTTTGTCAAAACCCAGACATATTCGGATTGGACTCGAGCTCAACCTGAACCCAACCCGAAACCCGGAAAAAAAAAAAAAAAAAAAATTTCTCACTCTTCTTTCTCTCTCTCTCTGCCCATACAGCTGCACAGAGAGGGGGGCAAGCTTGAGAGTTGAGAGACAGTGGCTGAAGCTTGCGATGGAAAGAGAGAGAGAGAGATTTGAAGCTTGCAATGGAAAGAGAGAGCGACAGCGGCTGAAGCTTGCGCTGGAAAGAGAGAGAGAGAGACAATGGCTGAAGCTTGCGAACCCGAACTGGAATAGCGGGTGATGGAAACTGAAAGATCTGGGTTTTGATTTTTTGAACAATCTGAAATGATATGCCGATCTGGGTTTTGATTTTTTTGAACAATCTAAAATGATATGCCGATATGGGTTTTGAACTTTTGATTCTTGCAGACAGAATAGATAAAACTGAAATATATGGGTTTTGAACTTCTGATTCTTGTAGATTTTGTAGTTTGCAGTTGGGGAGAGAGGGGGGTTGGGGGGTAGTTCAGAGAGAATAAAGATGGAGGCGATAGGGAAGGCTGAAATGATTTACCCTAAAAATATTTTGTTTTGTTTTTTTTATTTTTTTTTTTATAATAATATAATCAAATATTTTATATATATATATATATATATATATATATAAAGTTATTGTGCGCTTCCCCATTGGCATCGTAGATTTTCACGCGTTTGGCTTTTAGGGTTTTGATCAGTTCTATGGATTTTGATGGAGATGGTAGGTTGTTTCCCAACTGGCCATAGTTTACTCTGAGCTTGTTTGAGATCTCTGCACCTGCAAATAAAAAAAAAAAAAAAAAAAAATTAGTTATACAAATACATACATATATCTATATATACACACATGTGTATAAAAGATGAGCAAAACCCAGATCAGCAATTTTTGGGACTGAGCTGGGCTGGGCCAGCCCAAGTTGCAGCCCTATATAAGATGGATGGAATCCGAGTAGAAAAGAAAAGATGAGTAAATGCCCGGAAAGGGTCCTCAATTTCTCTGGTAAGAGAGCCAAGAGGAGGGTTACTGATCGAGTAAGAAGTTTGGTCATTGCTATATTTTTCTAAATTAAAAATCAAAGCACCTCCTACTTCTGTCATGGAGTGTATTTTAGGCAATAGGCATGTGAGTCTTGCAATATCACGGGTCAAATGTTCATTTTGAGCTTGTTTTTGTTAGTTTGTTCTGAAACCAAAATCTAAGTACTTTTTTTGAATGGTAAATGTATCTAATATATATATATATATATTCGGCTAATTAAGTGGTATAATTTCTATAGATATTCATGGCTCCAGCAACATTATTATCTTTGGATTCGATAAAGCCTAGTCGTGTGTTGTGTTCCATTGATGATTTACTTCATATTATTATTATTAATTTTTATGTATTTTTTTTTTGGAAAGTTAAGCAACTGATATTGATGATAAAATAATTAAAAAGTTTGAGGCTAAAGCCCAAGTACAAAAGAAAATTAAGTACAGGCCCAATGGGCAACAAGGTCACAAGCCCGACCAAGTTCAAAAGTGTCTCCCATTAACTGTCAAAAGCCAAAGTAACCGATAATAGAGAGAACTAAGCCAATTTCGCTGACTAATTGTAGCCGGATTGAAGGCTAACTTGAATGATCTGGAGGACGAGGGGGTGGTCTGCAATATGATGAAGGTAGATTCCATTCAGAGAGGATTAACCTCGAGGCCGCGCAATCCTTTAGAAATCCAAGTCTGAGAATTGAAGTAATGGAGGAGATAATTCTGGCAAACAGAATTCTTTGCGAGCATTTACCTTTCTTGAAAATTCTGTTGTTACGCTCTTCCAAGTATGATAAACTATTAAAGTGAAACAGATTTTTCGCACCAAGTTTTGAGGAGAGTTGGTCTTCCACATGAAGCTTATTAGCTGAACCAAATTGCTCCAGTTTGTGATTACTGTTGAAAAGTGGCATTTGTCTTTGAGGAATATCCAAATTGGAGAGACAAAAGAGCAGTTGAAGAACAAATGGTCATGTGATTCCAATGCAGTAGAGCATAGTGGACATATGTTTTGGTATTTGGTCATGGATTTGTTGTCAAGTGTTGACAGTCTAGATTGAACTGCCATCCATAGGTTGAATTTCATACGAGGTATGATTGGGGAACTCTATACCAGATTGAACAGTGGTATGCTTGAAGCTGTAGTACCCAGTAGGTGATGCGATCCAGACCTTCTTGTCAGTGATAGTTGGACATGGAGGCTGTAAGTGCAGTAGCTCTGGGATAGTAGTTGTAAGTGGCTGTGGGAAAGACCAGTGGGAGCTGCTATCAAAGAAAGTGTCAAGAGTGGAGTTTTCATTGATGCTAGCTGTAGTGAGGACTGAAGGAAGGAATCTAGTGCAAAATGGACCTCCTGGAGCCCAATTATCCCACCAAAAAGAGGTACTAGCTCCATT